CCAGGCCGTCAATCAATTCTTTAGGGTCCGTTAGACCAGCCGGGAGCCAGCTGACAGCCTTATGCATTTGAGCCCCATATTGACTGCTAGTTTGCTGTGCTGATTGTATTGTTGTATTGAAAAACCCAGGCATTTGTTGCATGAAACTCTTCGGGTTGAAGTGGGTCTTTTTTAGTGTAATTTTAGGAAGAAGAAAAACTGAACTGTTGCTAACGTTGAGTGCTGAGAATTACCTAGACTTTTGAGGCGAGAAAAGAGCGTAATTTCAAGCAGAACTAGACGAAGTTTTTCTGATAGTTGTGCTCAGAAAAAAGCTGAAAAAAAGAAAAAGACTAAGTTTTTAGGCGAGAAAGGTTGAGAAAAAGAACATTAAACTGCTGAATTTTTCAGACTGATTGAAATTGTAGAGCTGAAAAGAATCAAAACTTTAAGCGGAAATAGCTGAAATTTTGCTGAAAAGTAGGGCTGAGGAAAGTGCTGAGAAAAAGAAAGTGACTGAAATTTTTATGCGAGAAGGGTTGAAAAAGAGAAAATAAAGCTGCTGAAGGCTATAGACTGATTGAAGTTGTAGAACTGAAGAGAATAACTGCCAATTGTAAAAACTGAACAGGTAAAAATATTTTTTTTGTCCGCTTGGAGGGATGAGTTCACGATAGAGTTAATCATAATTGTTTTTTGAAGAACACCGCACTGACAACTAATAACCAATCTTAATAAATGGAAAACTATTGACATTCTAAAATCATAGGACCCGAGAAAATTGACTTATCCGTGTATGTATTCTTCTCTTTTGAGTCTGATGTAAAATTAAGGCTGATTGAATTACCGTGTTTTAGAGCAAACCTTATGGCGGAATCTTCAAATAGGGAAAAGATAAGCTTGATACATCTAATTTCTCTTGCACGAATTAATTTCCATTCAATTGAAACTGAAACACAAAATACATATAATATTTTCAAAAAGTTTTTATAACATGTTCTGTCAGTTTTTTTCAGACACTGCAGAGAAAGGAACAAACAAAATTGAACTTCTCAGAATAGCAAACTTATGCTCACAAAACCGAAGTGTCGAAACGTTTATTTTCAGAGGAAGAAATTTTATCGCAAATAAACTCAATGAAAACTCAATCAAATGAACTTGAAAGTTATCCAATTTTGCGTTTTTTGTTTGATTTTGAGCTATTGTTATCTGAATAATGCTCTATAAACAACATAAAAAATAATTATTTAGTTAATGAGTCACGTTTTTTAGGTTTTATAGGTTTCAATGTTAGTGTCAGATTTTACAAATTGTTTCAGCTTACTTCGAATGATAACTTTTAGCTTCCCATGCAAGCATTCCGAAATAGATGGTAACTGTTGCGAGTGTAATAGTATAACAAAGGTAGAAAATCTTGTCAAATCCAGCTGCAATAAGTCTCCATCTTTTCAACGCAATGTCCGCCGCGTCATCTTTTGCGACAATTGCTAGTTTTGCGACAATGTCCTTCAAATATTCTTCCAACATTGGCGAGCATTCGGAGATGACTCGTTTTGCGGGTTTCGGTATATGGTGGATCGTGGTCGCCCGTTTTAGTTGTTGCGATTGTCGCGAGCATTCAGGTTGGAAGCCTTCCTCGCAGATAACCGAGTTTCCATTTCCGTCGCTTTTTGAAGCATGGAGACCTTCGTTCGTGTCACTTGTTGCCATAGTGTTTTGAAAATCCAAAACAGAAGAATCATTAGCGCAATTCAAATTTATGATGTTTATTTCCGCATTATTCGTGCGATTTTTTCTCGACCTTTTTGATTCACTCAGTTTTCGCTCGGCTTTTGCGCTTCCACAGCATGCTCCAATACAACATACAAATCTGAACGCACATCCTATGCAGTTACTGATCAAATCCACGAAAGAACGTTTCCCTAACTTTTCACAAAAGAGGAAAAATTTGATCAGAAATGAGTGTTCGTCGACCATTTCGTGGGTGATTCGAAAGTGAAGCATCAATGTTGTGGCCGTGAGAATGATCGAGCACCCCAGCATAACACTGATGACCGTGTAGAAGCGAGCGATGAGGGGGAAACTGTCGGCCGAGGGGGGAAGAAACTCGGCCACTATGACTTGATTGACATATAGAGCGAGGAAGAGTGTGATTGAGAAACCGAGTTTCTCGCCACATTCGCTCGGGAGGAGAAAGATGACAGATCCGAGCCAGCTTAGGAGCAAGGACGGGATGACAAGACTGTTAATGGTACAAGTATAATATACGGGTCTTTTGAGAAACCAAAACTAGTTTTTTTCCTTAAGACTGAAACACAAGTAAGCTTTTCATAGAAACCTGTCCAGCAATCCTTTCAAAATGGAGAAATGGACACTAAACTTCATAGCTGGGTATCATAGGGCAATATTCTGAGCCTCATCCCTTCATAGTATCATCACTCAATTTATTGCAGTTTACTTTGATTTGTTTACTGGCTTTTATGCTAAAATCTAAATAATTTTCATCATTTTCATTACTATATTTTTGTTATTGCGTTGAGAGAAAGTGTCTTGTAACCGGGAACTAAAAATTTTTCCATGAAACAAGTTGTGTGCAAATGTGAAAGAATAAGTCATGGCCCATATATCATACTATATCATCAAAATGGCCCATATATCATACTTGTACCTGTTAACATAGAAGTCTGGCTTCCTTTTAAGTTTTATGGTGTACTCGATGTAAGGGTACCGTATTCGTTCCCCGTTGTAAAGAGGGTGGTTGTAAACATCCGCCTCATAGTCTTTCAAACTCGTGACGTCATCGATGACCCACTCAATGTTACCAACTCTGCCTTCCATTCCTTAAAAAGAACTTAGAAGTAAACTTTTGGTTTATATGATTCCGGTTGATTTTGGTTAAAACGGCTATATTTCGCATAGAAGACTATTGAGAAAGTTTGTGCTGTTCAAAGTAAACCAAAAATCAAATTGTTTATCGTCCAAATTAAGAACGTCCAAATTTTGAAAGGTCATGATTTGTTGCGCTACAGGAAACTTGCATTGCAAAAGATTGCGTTTTCCGGCTCGCAACAAGCTCAGTAAACATTGGTGACATAGCTTATTTCAAAATTTTTGCTTGAGTCAAAAAAGGTTAGTCAAAAATAAATGCATATGAAGAAGACTTAAGGTTCTATAAACTCTATTTAACGGCCTTTTTAGGACACTTAGGCATTTAAAGTTTTACGAGGGTCTTAATACAGCGCCCTTTCACATGCTAAAATACGCTCATTCGAGGTGAATATGAGGTGAAGAAGCTTAGAATGATTTCACTGCAGTCCCGATCAGGCAAAGTTAATGGAATATACGACAGATAAACACTGAATCAGCGTGAATCAGTTAAAAATCAATATGCTGACCCAATTGGTGTTAAAATGATTTTTGTAAATAGAATGTTCCGACTGCCTTTTAAGGTTTATGGAGCAGCAGTAATAGCATAAAAAAACTGAATGAAATAAAATAAAATGAACATTTTTTTTCTAAAATTTGAAATTTTTTTAATAAAAATCATCCCCCCACACGCCACATAAAGTACAAAAAGAGAGATTTCATTCCTTGTAACAAATCAATTATGGCAAATAAGCTTCGTGCAACCAACTTGGAACGATTTATAAGACGGATTAAATCTCCTCTTACGCGTTAATAGCGCGAATTATATCGCGCGTTAATTGTCCCAAATTGCTCAAAATGGCAATATTTAAACCCTCATAACTCTACAAAAAATAATCACAGGTGAAATATCTTTTCAAATTTAAGCTCAGGACAACAATACCTTTTGAATGGTATAAAAAAAAATTACGTCAAAAATGGCTAGTTAAAAAGTCGAAATTTGTCTGAAGAAAAAAAAACCCACCCCGAGAACAATATTCCGTTACTTTCGTATCGAAAGTCGGAACAACAACTGTTGCGAAATGGATACAACTATTGCGAATTGGAGCCACGAACTGGAACCATTTTCAATGTTCCGACTATTTTTGAAGAAATTGACGGAATGTATGTGCTCGGGGTGTTTTTTTTTTTTCAGGACAAATTTCCACTTTTTAACTTGCAATTTTTGGTGGCATTTTTTTATTGTTCCGATCTTCGAAGAAAACGAACTATTTTTGCTTCGTGTGGTTTTTATTCAGTCAATTTTCGGCGATTTAAATAGTATTCTTCAGCAATTTTTTTTATACCCCATTGAAGATATTGACCCCCTGAAATCAAACTCAAAATGATATTTTACTTTTGATCAATTTTCGCAGGGTAATGGGAGTTCGGAAATTGCCATTTTGGCTGCGATCTGGACTAATTTTTGTGAGCTTTGAAGAATTTATTCATAATGCTGAAAGCGTAACACGAGTTATTTATGCATGGCGAGGTATCCCGCACAACAATTGTTTCAAATTTAATTGACCTAATCGGTCAAATTAGTTTCACACTTCATCTTTGATATTGTCCAAATTTTATAGTTTTTCAATGTTTTCTTTTCCCAAAAAACTATTCATTATGGTTTGAGGGGCAGTCGGATCATTTCAGGTTTTTCCCTGTATGCGAGCGTCTTGTTTCGTTTGAAAGTTATTGTTGTCCTGAGCTCAATTTAAAAAAAAAATTAGAACTCAACTTTCAAATTTTTAAATTATTTCACCTCTGATCGTTTTTCGTAAAGTTATGAAGGTTTCAACAACGGCAATTCGGGACAATTAGCGCGCGATATATTTTGCGCTACTAACACGTAAACAGGGATTTAATTCGTCTTAGAAATCGTTCCTGATTGAGTTGAGGCATAATTTTTGGTCTATTCAAAACTTCGCTACATGAGAATTATAGCACTTTGCACTTTAAATAGCGTGTGCGAGGATGATTTTCAAAAACTACTCGGGTCTTATGCACAAAACGGACCAAAATTAAAATCTTCATATCTTTTTAGCTAAAACTAATGCGGAAGAATTTGATTGGTTAACTTGATTGGTTAATATTAGCCAATCAAACTCAAGCAACATGGCCAGGCAAATCAATCAACCGTTCCAGCAGAAAAAAGTATTAGCCGAACTTACTGAGAATGTGAGTCTTAATCAAAGCATACAAATTTTTTTGTTAAATTAAACCCAAAAAAAGTTCAGTAAAATGGTTTCAACGCGAAAAAAATTCTATCGTTTTGGTCATTTCGGTCAAGAATTTTATCTGCCTTAAATTTTAATTAAAATGCCGGACCATGTTGTTTGCATTTGATTGGCTAATGAACCATACAGATTGAACCACATATTGACTTAAGATCAAGATGTAGAAATACTTATTTTGGGCCGTTTAGTGCATCAAACCCAACAACTCATTTGTCATTTGTTTTATTTTTTAAGTGAAAACCGCTCCAGCAAACCCTTAAATGCAGTCGCAACATTCAAGGCTTAGTCCTCATACGAGCAGAATTGTTGCTCTCACCATTGAAAATGTGAGGGAACTTTGTATCCGGGTGTGGTTTAGTTTTTTTTGTTTTCCACGCAAAATGAGCTACCACAAATAATCATCGGAGTGAGTTTTGTGATATATCATATTAAAGCCCTTTCAGTCCTGATTCGAACGCTTTTTTTTATTTACCAAACTTTAATTGTGCAAATGAGATGTCATTAGATGACCTGTATTGAAAGTAGACATCTCCAGGCTCAACAGTTTCTCGTGGTATGTCCACGAGTTTAATTTGATCCGACAATTCTGTTGGTCAAATGGGAAATAGGTCACATCTGCCTGACATTTAGTATGCAGAATCATAGGCACAGACCAGTATACGAGTCCATTATAGCCTACGATTGAAGGAAAAGTGGAATCTTGTCTGTTGACTTCGAAGTTCTCGAGACTGTTTGTGATCATCATGTCTGGAACCCACATGTCGGACGCCAGACGTCGTATTTCTTTGATGTTGCCGTACTCTGCCGGGTCCCAGGTGATTCTGAAACATCAATAAGAATTTTAAGAGGTCCGCATATAAATTAATTGAGAAGAATCCTCGACCTACCACAATTTCTTGCATAATACTTGCAATACTACATGCATAATATTGGGCAGCAGATAGTTTAGTTCATTGCTTCTTTACCGACTTGCAAATTTCTGTAGACTTGCCAAAACTAATTGAGCAAATTAATTCTAACTATAGTATTATATTTTCGTTCCGGCTTTCGTGACGAAAGTAACGGAATAGTTGTGCTCGGGGTGGGTTTTTTCTTCAGACAAATTTTGACTTTTTAACTAGCAGTTTTCGAGGGAACTTTTTTATATCATTCGAAAACTATTATTGTCCAGAGCTTAATTTTGAAAAGATATTTCACCTGTGATCATTTTTCGTAAAGTTATGGGGGCGTAAGCATTGCCATTTTGGCCAATTTGGAACAATTAACGCGCGATATACTTTGCGCTAATAACGCGTAAGCAGAGAATTAATCCGTCTTAGAAATCGTTCCAAATTGGTTCAAGGACGCTTATATGCCATAATTGTTAATAGGAGCAAAATCTACCACTTTGAACTTAATATGGCGTTGGGGGGGATGTTTTTTCTTAAATTTTATTTTATTTCGCATTAAATTTTTCATGTTATTACTGCTCAATACACCTTAAAAGGCGGTCGGAACATTCAGGGCTTCGCCTTGATACGAGCAGTCTTGTCTAATTGTTGTTCCGACTTTTGAAGAAAGTGCGGATTTTTTATGTTGGGGTGGTTTTTTGTTCAGTCAATTGTCGAACTTGTAACTAAGAAAACGCGGAACATTTATGTTGAGGTGGTTTTTTTATTGTTCCGACTTTCGAAGAAAACTGAATGATTATGCTCGGTGTGGTTTTTTCTACTCAGTCAATTTTCACTGATCGAAATAATAATTTTCAACAAAAACGTTTTATACCCCATTGAAGATATCGACTTCCTGATTTCAAATGCAAAAAGATTTTTCACCTCCAATAATTTTTGTTAAGTTCTGGGTGTTTAGAAATTGCCAAATTGGCCATCTTCTGGACTAAATTATGCGCGCTTTTTTGAGTTTATTCATAATGCTGAGAGCGTAACGCGAATTATTTATGCGTGGCCAATTATCCGTCGTTCTAAATTATCCGTCGTCTTATCCGGCGTGGTGAATTATCCGTCGTCTTTTTATGCGTGGCGAATTATCCGAGAGCAAAATCGTTCTAAAATGAATTCAGGCTAGCTAATCAGATTGGTCGTATTAATTTTGTACGACTCAAAAGTTTACTCTCTGATATTGTCCAAAATGTACAGGTTTTTAATGTTTTCTTTTTTCAAAACTATTCGATATAAATTAAGGGAATGTCGGAACATTCAGGGCTTTGCCCTGATGTACGAGCAGTCATGTTCAGTCAATTTTCGACTTTGTAAAAATGTAATTAAGCGTTTTTGACAAAATTCTTCTTACCATCTGAAAGATATTGTTTTCTTGAGTTCAAAATTAAAAATAGATTTTACTTGTGATCCTTTTTCGCTAAGTTATAGGGGTTTGAAATCTGCTAATTTGGTCAACCAGGGATAATTAACGCGCGATATATTGCAGTCTTAAGACACGCGTACGCGGAGGATAACTGCGTTCCAAATTGAATTGAGGCAAACCATTTGGTTTTATCATTAGGATAAAAGACTCCAAATGCGTCTCTTGTAGTTTGCATTAGCGCGTGGGGGGATAATTTTGCTTTAAAAAAATAAAAGAATATATTTTTTTTCGATTAGACCGTCAACTTTTTAAGCAAAACACTTTTAAATTAGCTTAAAGTGAAGTCGCAATACTCAATGCTCGGCTCTGATATACAAGCACTCTTGTTGTGCCGACTTGCAATTAAAATGGAATATTTATGCTTGGTGTGGTTGTTTTATTTATTTAAATTTTGGCAATCGAAATAATCGTTTTTAACAAAATTTTTTTATGTCACATTAAAAATATCGACTCCCTCAAATCAAATTTTAACAAAATATTTCACCTCCGACTTTTTTTTGCAATTTTTGGGAGTTTAAAAATTACCAATTTGACCATGCTCTGGACTAATTTATGCGTACTTCGAAAAATTTTATTTGTAATTCTTAAAAGGTAGCGCGATTTATTTATGCCTGGCGAATTATCCCGCACAGCAAACTTTCCAAATTGAATTGAGACTAGCTAAACGGTCGTATTAATTTTTAAACCTGATCTTTGATTAGCTGCCTTGCAACCGCAATAGTGGCATGCTTTTTCATTGCCATCTGAAAAAATTCTTAAAACTAATATAATGATTGTGGTTGCTTACATAAACGACAGCAGAAAGCAAGACATTGTGAACGATTAAAAAAACTTACACGACTTCAAGTTTTTTCAGGAGGTGGTTTTTATCAAGGCTTATTTTCGTTTTTTTTTTTCTAGTTTTCTTCTAAGCAAAAGTTCGATTTCTTGGGTGACATAATTGTGCAAGTATTTAAATAATAATTATTATACCTTGGGTCTATCCAGTACATTCTGATCCAGGCGAGCACCTTCAGTGTTTCCTCTTTCACACTCATCTCCATTAACTCCTTCACTACTATCTTCGCATACACACTCACCCCCACCAACTCATAATCACCATCTTCTTCTGCCGCTGATCCGCCATCACTCCCGCCCTTCCCATTGGTATCGTTTCGAGGTTTCATAGTTCGAGGGGGAAACATGGGGCTGAAAAAGAAGTCATTCGAAATTTTTGTTTTATTACTGTTTCTTAAAGAATAATTGTCTAGTGACCGTAGTTTATCGGACGTAACAAAATTGAAGTTTTATTTGAGAAATTCCAAAAATTACAATTGCTTTTTTGCATTCTGGTTTTGTTTTTTATTGCACTTCCGGTTTGAATTTTTTTTTATTCTAAAAAAAAATAGTTTTCTAATCGGTTTTCATTAGTTGATATGTGTGTAAATCAGTACTAAGATAAACTTCGACGTCAAATGAACAGTTTTAGGTTATTTAACTTCGCTCAAATTCGTTCAGACTGAAAAAATATTGCCAAAAATTTGGCATTTACTATAATTCTCACATTGTTTCGCTTCTAATTGAGAGAAAAGCAACAATTCTCTCAAGGACGAAGCTTGTTAATTCAGCGATGACGTCATAAATGATTAATTTCAAAATGAAATTTTTATTTCAGCAAAGCGATAAGATTTTCGTTCATACATTTTATCCTGGAAAAAATGTATTCCTTAATTTGCTTTTTGATTCCTTGTGCTGAAGTTTTTCCAGGATCACTTGCAATTGCATTCGAAGTTAACACTTTAGATGATTAATTGAAATCGGTGAACTAGTGGCAGGAAATTATGATCATGAAAAAATAACATGATATAACACGTAATGCAAAGTTAATTTTTTAGTACGTGGTTGAAACTCGAGTTTGTGCCATGACCAAACGATGAGTTTAAATACCAATTCACCCAGCGTCCAGATGTTTTTTTTAATAATGACTTTATTTTCGACTTTTTTTAAAATACGGCCCAAAAATTGGAAAGGTTTAAATATACATAAATATGGAAACGAAAGTCACTTTTCATCCGGTATCTTATAATTTCAGCCAATGTGACTTCATTTAAGTTTTCATCAAATTTGGGCCATAAAACAGAGAAACTTAAAGTAGAAAGTATGATGTTTCCAATTTTTGATCGAGCCTAACTTTGGATGAAATGGAAGAAAATCTGCCAATATCATTATAAACAATGTTTTTGCTTCTAACCGGGTTTAAGTTGCATTGAAATTCAGGGTTAACACACCTTTGTTGCCTTTTCTTAAAAATTTTTTCAAGGATGTACCACTCTGTTGTAAATATGCTCATTATATTTACATCATTTATTATTGCAATTTCAAGAAACATTGATGGTACATTGATGGCACATTGATGGGGCATGAAAATACCGTGCAATTTCAAATACATTGATTGTACATTGATGAAACTAGGATTTTTCATTGATCGTACAATGATGAAATTTAAATGATTTTTTTTGCAAAAATGCGGCAGTGAAATTATAAGTTATTCTTTTCACAAGATACGCTTTGACGATGCTTGACCACAACAAAAGTGTAAAATTAGTTGAAATTTGAGCGAATTGTAGCCAATTTTTTTAAATCTCAACTATTCAGATCCACAAAGATCAAATTATTAAAACAAATGCTCATGTATACGTTTTGTGGGGATACTTCTAGGATTTTCAAAATTAAAGGCATGAAAGTATGAAAATTAAAAAATTTTCATAATTTCATGCCTTTAATTTTGAAAATCATAGAAGTATCCCCACAAAATGTATGGTTCGCGGTAAACAACCCTCCCGATACTTTTATTGTGCAGTCTGACGGATAGTTGTTTTTAGTAAACACTTTTCTAAAAACAGTTCGCCAGAAAAAGTCTTTTAACTTTTTTTTCTGCTGTCTTGAAAACCAATGTACACATTCGTGAAAAAATTATAGTAACGTCTGCTTCAGTCATCATCCATTTTTGAAAATTAGTCTAATCAACATCCATTTATCATGGATGAATCATAGAATGAAATCCACGTTACAGTCATAACTCATCAATGAAATGTCAATGTAGTTTGCATCCATGCTTCAAAAGATGAAACATGGATCAACTTCGTTAAAATGGCACTGCAACTTTAAGGAATCATGAATAGCAAAAACTGAAACACATCTATGGTACTTTTCTGAGCTGCAATGCAACCTCAACCCATGTATTGCTTCAAAGCTGTGTGCAACGAATGTATCTGTGGTTTTCCTACCAGTCCTGATAACATTTATTAACAAATTTACTTACAAGCTTTGCTCAATGCTGAAATAGATAACTAACTTGAACAAGACTGCTCGTATCAGGGCGAAGCCCTGAATGTTCCGACTGCCTTTTAAGGTTTATGGAGCAGTAGTGCATAAAAAATTAAATGTAATAAAATAAAATGAAAAAAAAAAGTTTTTAAAAAATTAGAAATTTATTATGAAATCATCCCCCCCACACGCCATATAAAGTACAAAAGAATAAATTTCGCTCATTGTAATAAATCAATAATGTCAAATGGGCTTCTTTCAACCAATTTGGAACGATTTCGGAGACGGATTAAATCTCCGTTTACGCGTTAATAGCGCGAATTATATCGCGCGTTCATTGTCCCAAATTGGCCAAAATGGCAATATTTAAACCCCCATAACTGTACGAAAAAAGATCACAGGTGAAATATCTTTTCAAATTTAACGTCAGGACAACAATGGCTTTCGAATGATATTAAAAAATTCCGTCAAAAATGGCTAGTTAAAAAGTCGAAATTTGTCTGAAGAAAAAAACCCACCCCGAGCACAAATATTTCGTTACTTTCGTATCGAAAGTCGGAACAATAATAAAATCTACAAATGATCATAACAAGGATAATGCAACCTGTTTGGAAGTTATTCATTTCGCTTTCAGTCTTTTGATATCGATTTCTTTCAATGCAAAAGCGAAGTTGTTCATTTTATTGCGCATCCAAAAATGTTATACGTTTAATTATAAGGTTTTCTCTGAACACTTACCAGTCATGATCTATCTGCTAAAACCTATAACCAGATTGTACAGTTATTCTTAATCATAAGACTGCAAAAAAATTGATATCAAAATAAACCTCGCAAAATCAGTGTTTCGACATTCTATTTCGATTATATAAAATTATCATTCTAAAAAAAATTAATCTAAGAATAAGACTTAATATTGGAATAAGCAGTAGCACCTAAGGGATCTATTAGCCGAAAACAGATAACGTGGTTTTGGGGGGGGTGGGGGACGGGGTTGACGTCACTCTCTCAGGGATTTGGTATTTGAAGTCTTTTTAGGATAAGAAAAAATTGAAACAAGACTGCTCGTATCAGGGCAAAGCCCTGAATGTTCCGACTGCCTTTTCAGGTTTATGGAGCAGTAATAACATTGAGAAATTAAATAAAACAAAATGAAAAAAAAAAAATTTTTAATTTGAAATTTTTATGAAAATCATCCCCCCACACGCCATATTAAGTACAAAAAGATTGATTTCGCTTCTTGTAACAAATCAATTACGGCAAACAAGCTTATTTTAACCAATATGGAACAATTTCTAAGACGGATTAGTTCTCCGCTTACGCGTTAATAGCGCGAAATATATCGCGCGTTAATTGTCCCAACTTGCCCAAAATGGCACTCTTTAAACCCCCATAACTTTACGAAAAATGATCACAAGTGAAATATTTTTTCTAATTTGACATCAAGGCAACAATACTTTTCGAAGGATATAAAAAAATTCCGTCCAAAAAGTCTAGTTAAAATGTCGAAATTTGTCTGAAGAAAAAACCCACCCCGAGCACAAATATTCCGTTACTTTCGTATCGAAAGTCGGAGCAACAAGAAAACACTCACGTACATTATATATATTTAGTAATAAGACCGTTTGTGTCACCTTGTTGTTTCCAAGTTTTACAAAAACCATGAAATTTTTTTTACAAAAAGACATTTTTTCTCTAATGAGGCAATCAAAAACTGAATTGGTTAGCGTCTAGGAAAGTATTATCAGGTCGAAATAGCTGGACTCATTTGAATTTGGAATAAGCTCCGAGCTGGATTAAATCGTTGCTTATTCGTTTTACCGAGAAATTTTTTCGGTCTCATATTATCCCATTCTGATCGAATTGACAAATTTCGAATCCCACTTTTTTACAAAAAAAAACAACATTAAGTTGAACATTGTGTAAAAGTCTAAATAAAGGACTGGTTTGAGAATCTAAGTCGTTAGGAGAAAAACCCACATCGAACAAATGAACAAAGTATTCCACAACTTTTTCGAGACATGTCGGAACAACAGTAAAGCAAACCCTTAAAACCAGTTTTACTCGCGACATTTATTGGTCTGAATTTTGAAGAAAAAATCTAAAAGGTTTATGCAGGGTGTGCTTTTAGACAAATTCGGTCAAATTTAATGCCAAATTTGGTCCAAAACGATTTCGGAGACGGATTAAATCTCCGTTTACGCGTTAATAGCGCGAATTATATCGCGCGTTCATTGTCCCAAATTGGCCAAAATGGCAATATTTAAACCCCCATAACTGTACGAAAAATGATCACAGGTGAAATATCTTTTCAAATTTAAGCTGAAGACAACAATACTTTTCGAACGATAAAAAAAAATTTCCGTCTAGTTAAAAAGTCGAAATTTGTCTGAAGAAAAAAACCCACCCCGAGCACAAATATTTCGTTACTTTCGTATCGAAAGTCGGAACAATAATAAAATCTACAAATGATCATAACAAGGATAATGCAACCTGTTTGGAAGTTATTCAAATCGCTTTCAGTCTTTTGATATCGATTTCTTTCAATGCAAAAGCGAAGTTGTTCATTTTAGTGCGCATCCAAAAATGTTATACGTTTAATTATAAGGTTTTCTCTGAACACTTACCAGTCATGATCTATCTGCTAAAACCTATAACCAGATTGTACAGTTATTCTTAATCATAAGACTGCAAAAAAATTGATATCAAAATAAACCTCGCAAAATCAGTGTTTCGCCATTCTATTTCGATTATATAAAATTATCATTCTAAAAAAAATTAATCTAAGAATAAGACTTAATATTGGAATAAGCAGTAGCACCTAAGGGATCTATTAGCCGAAAACAGATAACGTGGTTTTTGGGGGGGGGGGGGGTGGGGGACGGGGTTGACGTCACTCTCTCAGGGATTTGGTATTTGAAGTCTTTTTAGGATAAGAAAAAATTGAAACAAGACTGCTCGTATCAGGGCAAAGCCCTGAATGTTCCGACTGCCTTTTCAGGTTTATGGAGCAGTAATAACATTGAGAAATTAAATAAAACAAAATGAAAAAAAAATTTTTTTTAATTTGAAATTTTTATGAAAATCATCCCCCCACACGCCATATTAAGTACAAAAAGATTGATTTCGCTTCTTGTAACAAATCAATTACGGCAAACAAGCTTATTTTAACCAATATGGAACAATTTCTAAGACGGATTAGTTCTCCGCTTACGCGTTAATAGCGCGAAATATATCGCGCGTTAATTGTCCCAACTTGCCCAAAATGGCACTCTTTAAACCCCTATAACTTTACGAAAAATGATCACAAGTGAAATAGTTTTTCTAATTTTACATCAAGGCAACAATACTTTTCGAAGGATATAAAAAAATTCCGTCAAAAAAGTCTAGTTAAAATGTCGAAATTTGTCTGAAGAAAAAACCCACCCCGAGCACAAATATTCCGTTACTTTCGTATCGAAAGTCGGAGCAACAAGAAAACACTCACGTACATTATATATATTTAGTAATAAGACCGTTTGTGTCACCTTGTTGTTTCCAAGTTTTACAAAAACCATGAAATTTTTTTTACAAAAAGACATTTTTTCTCTAATGAGGCAATCAAAAACTGAATTGGTTAGCGTCTAGGAAAGTATTATCAGGTCGAAATAGCTGGACTCATTTGAATTTGGAATAAGCTCCGAGCTGGATTAAATCGTTGCTTATTCGTTTTACCGAGAAATTTTTTCGGTCTCATATTATCCCATTCTGATCGAATTGACAAATTTCGAATCCCACTTTTTTACAAAAAAAAAACAACATTAAGTTGAACATTGTGTAAAAGTCTAATTAAAGGACTGGTTTGAGAATCTAAGTCGTTAGGAGAAAAACCCACATCGAACAAATGAACAAAGTATTCCACAACTTTTTCGAGACATGTCGGAACAACAGTAAAGCAAACCCTTAAAACCAGTTTTACTCGCGACATTTATTGGTCTGAATTTTGAAGAAAAAATCTAAAAGGTTTATGCAGGGTGTGCTTTTAGACAATATCGGTCAAATTTAATGCCAAATTTGGTCCAAAACAACCAAATTAGACCAAAGATCTTTTTTGTTCAGTAATCATAATCGTGTAATTGATATATATATATATATATATATATATATATATAAATATATTTATATAATACGATATAATTATGTAGTCATTTTCTCTACTAAAAAGTTGACAATGACCGATCAAAATGAATTGAAGAAATACTGTTTTCGAAAGTCGATAAATCGATTTTTATTCGGCTATAATAAATTTGAAAAAATACTTCTCAAATTTTGTCAATAAATTTTTAAAACTTTTCTTTGATCTAAAACAGGTTATAATATATTGTTCTTAAACCCTTTGTGTTATGTGCATCTATAAGCTTGTAATTTATGCTTTTCAAAGACATTGACTGATGTAAAATTTTAGACAATCATTTTAGCAGTTTTGAAATCAATTCTGAAAAATGTCGTTTTTATTCTGGAATATAATTGTTTAACCATCTAAATTGGGAATTTATGATGCATTATTGATTTCATGAAAAAAATACAAACGTTTTTACTGAATGCGGGAAACAGAAAAGCAAATTAGACTTGGCAAAAAATTAATTTTTTCATTTGTTAAATTAGGTTGATAAGGATTTTGAAAATTCGAAGAAAAAATGTTAAAGTTTGAATATTTGGTACCCATTTTAGTTTTTTCTTTCATCTTTTGACTGTTTTTCGTTTTTGTAACAATTAGAGATATCACAGTTGGTACAAAAAAATTTTTAGGATAAGAAAAAATTGAAACAAAAAAACACTCACGTGTATTAAAAACATCTAGTAACAAGACTGGTTGTGTCATTTTGTTGTTTTCAAAATTTACAAAAACTGTGAAATTTTTTTACAAAAAGACATTTTTCATCTAATGAGTCAACCAAAAATGGATTTGGCTAGCGTCTAGGAAAATTTTATCGGGTCTAAATAGCGGACTAATTGGAACTTGGAATGAATT